GTCGGGGTTGGCTTCGATTCCCCGTTCTGTTAGATAGAATCCAAGGAATTTTCCTGCCTTAACCCCGAACGTACATTTCTCGGGGTTGAACCTCATTTTACACTGTCTTGCTTGGGCAAAGACTGTCTTGAGATGAGCTGCGTGGTCGGTGTCTGCTCGGGACTTGACGATCATGTCGTCCATATATACCTCGAGCATGTCTCCGATCTGTTTGTTGAAAACTCTATTCATCATGCGCTAGTAGGTTGCTCCGGCATTTTTTAATCCGAAGGGCATTACGTTGTAGTAATAGTTGCCCGAGCTGGTCATGAATGCCGTGCAGTGTTTGTCGCCCAGGGCCATCGGTATTTGGTTATAGCCCGAGTAGGCGTCCATGAACGACAAAGTTTTGTAGCCAGCCGAGTTGTCGACCAGCATATCTATGTTAGGCAAGGGAAAAGCATCTTTCGGGCAAGCCCGGTTGAAATCAGTATAATCAACGCACATTCTCCATTTTCCATTATTCTTTTTCACGAGTACAACATTTGACAGCCAGGTGGAATACCGGGCTTCAGAAATAAAATTTGCCTCTAGGAGGTCTTTTACAGCTTTTTCAGCAGCCTCCATTTTTTCTGGAGACTGCCTACGCCTACGTTGTACTACGGCCCTAGCGGCTGGATCAATGGCGAGGTGGTGACAGGCGACCTCAGGGTCGAGTCCGAGCATCTCCGCAGCGCTCCAGGCGAACAGATCAGCATTCTCGCGCAGACAGGCCTTGATTTGCTTCCTGGCCAAGTCGGGGAGGTCTTTGCCAATCTTCACTCCCTTGGTCGGATCTGTTCCGAGGGGAACGAGTTCAAAATCCCCGTCCGGTATTGGTCGGAGTGGGATTTGCTCGCTGCTGGATGGATCGTCCTGGTCGAAGCGGGTGTCCAGAGCTATGGAATCGACCTTTGGTGGAGCTTTCTGGACTTCTTCCTCGGGGGATGCTTTCCTGTCGGGCTCCTGTTTTGTCCTTTTGGCGGGTCTGGTCTCTATGTCGATGGTATCACGTCCCTTAGAAGCAGCGTTGAAGCACCTGCGGGCAGCGGCTAGGTCTCCTTGGACGGTGGCTACCCGTGCCCTCCTGGTGTAGAACTTCATCTTCAGGTGGACGGTCGAGGGCACCGCTGTCAGTTCTGCCAACGTCGGTCTCCCCAAGATGCAGTTGTACAGAGACGGGCAGTCAATGACGAGGAAACAGACTTTGACTTATCTTGTAGTCGTTCCTTCGCCGAACGTGACCAGGAGCTCGACATATCCCCAAGGTTTAGAAGTCGAGCCGTTGGAGCCTTGTAGATCCGACCCTACATACGGAGAGAAATGTGAGTCGTCCAGCTGTAGGGTTCGGAACAGTTGGTTGTACATCACGTCGACGGAACTCCCTTCATCGACCAGGATGCGATGCACATCAAAATTGGCCATTCTTGCCCTTATCAGTAAAGGGATGACCGCGTTCGGGGCTCCGTCGGGGAGCTCCTCTAGGTAGAAGGTGATGGGCTCTGACCTGCCCTTCACCCTTTCGAACGTTACTGTTTGCGGGGGAGCCGCGTCGACCAACTCGTCCAACTTCCTCTTAGCTGAATTGATGGTGAGGTCGTTGAACCCTCCCCCATTGATGACCATGGCGGAGGGAAAGTATTCCCACCTGCTGTGCGTTGTCAGCGGTTCCTGCAGATGCTCGGGAATGTCGAAGTCCTCGGGCCTGGTCACCGAGAAGGCGGTCTGGATAGGCATCGACTCGTCTGATGGTCGGGCGTCTTCTTCTGGCTCCTTGGCTTCATGGGCGTCACGACGAGGAGCGTCGTTTCGCCGGTACTGCGCGAGCCTCCCTCCCTTGATGAGGGTTTCAATGGCATCCTTGAGGTGGACGCAGTCCTCCGTCAGATGACCATGACTCCTATGGTACTGACAATATTTATTTTTGTTCGCCCCGGGCTTGGCGGGAGCAGGTCGGGGATGCTTAACGCCGCCGTCCTTGAAGTCTGTACTGGCACACTCCGCCAGAATACGCTCGCGGGAAGCTGTGAGCGGAGTGTACTCGGTGAAACGGCCCGAGGGTCCCCTTTGTTCCCGGACTTCCCGGGGTCTGTCTTCTTTCCTTTTCTCCCCGGTCCGTCGAGGAGAAAGTGCTTCCTGGCGCGAGCTATTGTTAGGCCCGCGGGTCCTGGAGTCTCGGGCCCTGTTGGCTGCTTCCCTCTCCTCGTAATCCATGTATGCCCGAGCTTTTTCGAGGAGGGCGTCAAAAGTCCTGGGCGGCTCAATACCCACGGCTTTCCTGAACTCTGTCCCGGGGAGGAGCCCCCTCTCCAGCAGATATCTCTTCATGTGGTCCGCGCATGGGACCTGTATCGCTTCTCGGTTGAAGCGGTTGATGAACTCCCTCAAGGTCTCATCCTATCTTTGAATGATGGCCTCGAGAGCCGCCTCGGTCTTTGGATGGCGTCGAGAAGCGGTGAAGGAACTGATGAACTGGTTCTTCAGGTTCCGCCACGAGGTGATTGAGCCCGGGGCGAGTCCTTTGTACCAGTCCATGGTCGCCTTCCTGAGAGTCGTGGGGAAAAGACGGCACTTGATGGGCCCCCCGACATTATGATAATGGAGCATAGCCTCGAACCCGTCAATGTGGTCGACCGGGTCCGCGACTCCATCGTACTCCTTCAGATGTGGGGGCTTCTCCATGCCCGGGGGGATGGGTGCATCCATGATGGCCTGCGACAGGGGACCGCGGGGGTCGTCCTCGTCGCTCCTCTCCGGAGACGGAGATGGGGACCTGTAGTATTGTCTGGCACGACGGTCGTGGTCGTGCTGAGTCTCCCTCGAGCGTGATGCTCGTTGGTTGAATGTTACACGCCCGTCTCCGGCGTGTCTCTTGTCGTGCCTTGCCGGGTCGCGATTGGGTTCTCTGGCAGGGATGACGGGCTGTCTCTCCAAATAGGGTCGCCTCTGCTTTGGCCGGGGAGATGGGCTTCGAGAGTTTTCCCTGTAGTGTCTCCGCGGGGGAGAAGGGTGTCGAGCTTCAGTCACTCGAGGAGGGAGAGTATGTGGTCTCCAATGCCTCCTCGGGGGTCTTCGCTCGTCTTCAAGCGCCTTTAATCTCTCTCCTTGGGCGAAGATGAGATAGTTCGTTTGATTAATTGCTGCGAACAGAGCTTGTGTGGTGGCATCCGCCCCGGAGGGGACGGGGACTTCCTGAAACCGGGCGGCTCTGTAGTGGGTGAGGGCTGCCGGGTCGTCCTCGAGTGGTGGTGGGAGCGAGGAGGATGATGCAGTAGTCCCGTCCCTGTATGAGGAAGTTCCGGGGGCGGTTGTTACAGGAATGGTGTTGTGGCCGGGATTGCCGGCGTTGTCGAGATGTCCGTTTTTGTCCGCCGTATCGTTATTAGTGTCAGCGACACGGACGTTCTGCTCATCGCGAGCTGGATCAGCCATGACAGGTAGTTGAATTTGAGCTTTGGTCTTTTGAGTTGTTTGTAAGACGGGGAAGCTAGTTTCCCACAGACGGCGCCACTGATCTAACCTGATCAGACTTGGACCGTCACGGCTGGCTCCGAGCTGAAAGTTTTGAACGAGGTGGGGGGGGTACCTGCAAGACACTCCGATGCTGAAGTAAGTAAGAGCACGAGCAGGCAATAGTAAGTATGGGTAGAATGATGAATACCTGACCCTCTGGAAACAGAGGGTATTTATAGCCCCCAGCGCTGGGCCAAGGTTCCTTCATTGGACCGGGCAGGTTTGGCCCAATGGAGGAACTTCCAGGTTCTACGTGCGTAGTGGGGACCCACACGTGGTCCCCTCCCTGGATGTTCTGCGTGAAGTGCGGGCGGACAAAGACGCGGTCTTTTCGGGATCTCGTTGGGAGTGCAGTGGACTGAGTCTGCCCTAGTTGGGGTGTTCGAGGTGAGGTCGAGCTGGACAGTAGGAGGTCGAGCTGGACAGTTGGAGGTCGAGCAAGTAGCCTCAGGGAGCACGTCGGGCACGACTGTGACCCTTTGGTCGGCGTGGCCCTCAGCAAGTCCGTTTGGATTGGGCCTTATCAATGCTATTGGGCCTGTCGGGCCCAGTCCATAACATAATTTATATCAATCTTGATGAACAAGATTGTTATCACCACACAATAACGATGAATTATATGAAAGGAAAAAAGAAGACAATTATTTTTTGCAGAGTTTCTCTCTCTGTCCACAAACTATGAAAACACATTATTCACTTGTAACTGCAAATTTTGTGAATACAACTTAATTGACTTGATTATAAAAACTATGGGTTACTCCCTCTATTTATAGACTTAGGTTAGTTTGCTCTCTAAAGCAAAACCCAAAACTATAAAAGTACAAAATACCTATTTTGGAACTAAATTAAATCTATCTATTTTAAATCTAAATAAAACCTAAATCTAAAACTAAATCAAATCTGTGTGCAGCCTGCTTCGATACACAAGCTATTCGACTGATCATTCGTTTCTCTCGAGCAAACTACTTTGATAATTATTACCTTTCGACACACATAGTTTCGACGCCAAGAATTATAATTTAACAATTAGAAGAAGTTTGTCTAACTATTAATTGTATGTTTAGTTGACATATTTTTTTTTTAAATTGTATTAATTAAATTTTAAAAAAAAAAATTAATTTAGTGAAAGAAAATTTATAGTTTTTACTCATCAAAACCAATGGATGGCTTTGAAAGTGATTAAAATAAAAACAAAATATTTCTATTGATGCAATGATTGTGATTAATTAATAATATAAAATATATAGTTCTATTTTTATTAGTATTTTGGATAAAAGATAGCCGAATGAAATAATAAGAAAAGAAAAAACAAAAATTGGTGTCAATCTGGTAACTATAATGAAAGAGATATATCATAAAATACATATGTGCTCGTAATATTTGAACACTGACAATACAATACGAAAGAACATGCATTCATCAGTGGCATTGTTGTAATTTTATGAAAAAGACAGTGGCATTTAGTTATAATGGTTCAAATAAAACCAGGTGATCCCTCCCTTGAATCTCTCAAATCCAACTCACTCTCTTCTTTCTCTCTCTGACTCTCTTCTTTCTCTCTTTATATTCGTTGAAAAAAATGGAGAAGCTTAAAGTGCTAACAATTTTGTTCCTCTCAATGTGCCAAGCTGCTTTGTCTTATACAGATGGTAAGTTTTAATTAAAGCTTTATACTATTATGCAATAATGCAATGTAAAGTGCTTAGGATTTTAATCACTTTTAATAATTACTTCATTTATTTATATTCTTAATTCATTAATGACATTAATGTTATTTGGTAGGAGTAGTACTATGATGAATAGTATAGTCAATGAAACTGTTTTAATTATAATTTCTAATGTTGACATACACTTAAGGTTCAACATTAATGAACTTCAATTTCAGATTTAAATTTTATAGTTTTAAGCATTATTACTAGGACAGTTAATGAAAACACTGTTCTAAGTTTAAATCTAGTAACTGTTTTAATCAATTTGGAACATGTTCCTTATTCAACGAAGGTTCAGTAAAGAAAGAATCAAACATGAGAATTTCAATTCAAATAACTCTCTCAATCTTATAATATAAATAAATTTTATTTTTTAATTCATTAATGTATCAGAATTATGTATAAATTAGACATATTAATTATTCAATGAATAAAAAAAATAAAATTTGTTTATAATATAAAATGGTATACCCGTTTGCAATGTGGTTTAGACAATTTTAAAGAAAAAAATTATTTAAATACAAGAGAAAAATCTATACGATTCAATTTGGTTTGATTGACTTTTAAAAGTAAAATCGAATTAAATCAAATTAATGCGATTTGAATTGGTTCAGTTTTTTATAAAAAAATTATTAAGCTATACATATACATATAAATAAAAATATAATTTTGTGTTTAATCGTTCATACATTACAATAAAAAAAATTATAATTATTAAAATAAATTTATAATTTGAGACATAAAATTACGTATTATAATTTTATTTAAACCTAAAGAATGATATACATAAGATTGCATTTTTAAATAAATATTATATAAAGAATACGATAAAATATTTTGTGAAAATAATATTTATAAATGAATAATATTTTATTTTTTATATTTATAAATTAAAATAAATATCATATAAAGAATATTGATTATATATATATATATATATATATATATATATATATATATATATATATATATATATATATATATATGTTGATTTCTCTAAAGAATTAAAAATATATATATTGATTAATAAGATTTTATAATATAATACAGTTTAATTTGATTTGGTTCAATTTGTAAAATACAAACTGTAAATCAAATCGAATTGCACAATTCCGTTAGAAAATAACTCAAACACATCCAAATTAAATATAATTTTTTACAGTTTTAATTTAGCTCAGTTTGATTTTGCAATTTTTTATTGGACCGATTTATTTTTGAAAACACATAAACAGAGAGAATAATAATTTATCTTCCAATATATTTATGTGATTTTTTTAATTTAAATTTCTGATTATCATTTTTTTCTATTCCAAAAGATATATTCCCTCTATTTTTATTTATAAATAAATTTTGACTTTTAAATATAATTATTAAATGATATATTTAAACTATTTATAATTTAGATAGACATTTTGAACACATTTATAAACAACAAAAATATTTTCATTCTTAGCTACTATTATAAGTAAAAATTAATTATTATTCAATCATTTAATGCTGTACATCATCCAAACATATTTATAAGTAATAATTTTTTTAAAATTCATTGAATAAATGATATATTTAATCATCATTTTATACTGGATATTTCAATTATTCAATGAATCTAAAAAACTTTTCGTTGCTTATAAATATGTCTGAAAGTATAATTCTTAATATTCTCTCTAGTATATTTTCTAGCATTCTATTAAATTTAATAAAGATGATATTATAGTAAATTTAATTAATATATTTATAAAAACTTAAAAAAATAATTATATTTGATTGAATTTCTTAACAATTATAAAAATTATTTTTATTATTAAATATGTTCAGAAGATGTACATCAATTATTTAATAAATTTAGAAAGTTAAAAAAAAAAAGTGGAGGGAGTATGAAGAAATATGTTTTGGTTACTAATTCAATAAAAAAATTCGTTATGTTTCTTTAATGTATACCCTTCACATGTTTGTGTGTCATAAAGTAGAATTGATTTTTATTTTGGAATTGATCGCAATCAAAACTTGAATTGAAAGCTTTTTGAATTTAGATTTGACTTAGTGTATAGGGGCCCTTTCCCCTAAAATCCATAGTGAAAAAGAAGAAAAAAACCTTTTACAATGTAAAATTTTTTTAATTATATTTTAAGATAATTTTTTGAAGTTAGAAAGACAATTATTTTGAGACAGAAAAAATATATATTAAAAAAAAAAATTTAATTTTAATTATTTATTAAAATAATATCAATAGATAAGTGATGAATTGACGATATAAAATTCTTTAGAATTGATCATGCTTAGTAATCAATCTCTTTGTAAAAATAAGTGATAATATATTATAATTTTAAAATAATATCATTCCGAGACGACCCACTATTTATATCCACTTATCAAATCCAATATTATATGATTTTCTGGTGGTAGATCAATGTAAAACTTAAAATCTTATTTTTTATGTTAAAATCTATTTTAGAAGTAAAAAGAATTTTAGTTGAGAATTTGTAGTCTAATCATATTGTCTTCTCCATAATACTACAAAATGTATTGTTTTAACTTAAAATATAAAAAAAAAATTACTACATTAAGAAGGATTTTGAAGTTTGCATGTGAATCAACAAAATGGTAGTTGTTTTGCTCTGCATAGTCTAGATCTGTAACATCCCTTTCGTCAGATCTAAAGCCACATGCTCTACAAACTTTTTCATGTGCTCACACCCTGCACTCACATGTTCCTTATCACATGGAACAAGACCAAAAAGTGCTCTTGGAAATGAAATTTGTCACTATTACCAAAACATTCACCCCACAATATGTGGTTTACTTTTTATAATGTTTTTTTTTAAATTAATTTAGTGTATGTAATTCACCATTTATGATGTCGTATATTCAAACTCGTGTCTTTTGATATCTCTACACAATTATCAATTGAGATATGAACTATGTCTCTTTTTTCATTAAAATGAGAAAAACAAACCAATAATTGTGATTGTAAATTTCAGGTTTATTACCCAATGGTGACTTTGAAGTAGGACCAAAAGCCTCACAAATCAAGGGCACAGTAGTAACAACCCACGACGGTATTCCAAATTGGACAATCTCAGGTTTCGTAGAATACATAAAATCAGGACAAAAACAAGGTGACATGCTTTTGGTTGTACCAGAAGGTGCTTATGCTGTTAGGCTTGGTAATGAAGCTTACATTAAGCAAAAAGTGAAGCTTAATAAAGGTTCAACTTACTCAATCACGTTTAGTGCAGCACGTACATGTGCACAAGAAGAGAAACTTAATGTCTCTGTGGTTCCTACTAATGAGAAAAGTGATTATGGGATTATTCCAATTCAAACTATGTATGGTAGTAATGGTTGGGAATCGTTTGCTTGTGGGTTTAGAGCTGATTATCCAGAAGGTGAAATTGTCATACATAACTCTGGTGTTGAAGAAGATCCTGCTTGTGGTCCTCTTATTGATTCTGTTGCTTTGAAGGTTTTGAATCCACCACAAAGAACAAGAGGTAAATTCTTTTCTCTACACAAAATACATGTATCATGGTTTTAAATTACAGTCGCGCTGATGCGGTTGGAGTTGCAGGTATTGCGGCCGTTGCAGCATGAATTTTTATTATAAGAAAAATGAGTTGAAGTTATGAAATTTTGTTTTTTGAATTTTGATGAAAATAACGAAATACAGGGGCGGTTCTACAGCTCAGCGAGTCCATGCTCAACCCATACTTTCTTTGTGTTCTCTCCAATCTAATAGTCAATTTTTAGACAAAATCAAGACCAAAATTAGTAAAAACAGGGTGCAAGATTAGTAAAAACAGGGTGTAAAATTTTTGTCTAGACTGCCAAAAATTCCTGGCTCCGCCACTGACTGAACATAAACATGCGATGACGTGGTTCTTATTAACTACCGCACGCATGATTTTAAATCATGCTGCAATTGTAGTTTGATGCGATTGTAGAGACCACCGCATCAACAATATTGCAAATGTTATTGCGACTGCAGTCCGCAATTTGAAACCATGACATGCAGGATCATCTTAAATTTTCGGAGGTCCTATATAGGTCAACTAGGATTTAGTCGTGACAAAATAATTTCGACCCTATTTTGTTATGATTTAATCTTGACAAATATTTTATATAGCCTTTTTTAACAACAGTTTAACCGAGACAAATTTTAGGCTTTATGCAGTAACCCACCTTACACGCCCTTAATGACTACCAGATGACCTGTATACTAAATAGTTTTGTATTGGTATCAAATCAATTTGGATTGAAGTTTAATCATTATTTTTGGTTGTTTATACAGCAAATTTGTTGAAAAATGGAAACTTTGAAGAAGGACCCTATGTGTTCCCAAATGCATCTTGGGGAGTATTGATCCCACCTCACATTGAGGATGCTCATGGTCCATTACCTGGATGGATAGTTGAGTCTCTCAAAGCAGTAAAATACATTGACTCAGATCATTTCTCAGTCCCTGAGGGAAAAAGAGGAATTGAACTAGTTGCAGGAAAAGAAAGTGCACTTGCACAAGTAGTGATGACTACAATTGGAAAAGTTTATGTCCTCACTTTTGCTGTTGGTGATGCCAATAATGCATGTGAAGGTTCCATGACAGTAGAAGCATTTGCAGGTAGAGATACAGTTCAAGTTCCATATGAATCTAAGGGTAAAGGAGGTTTTAAAAGAGGCAAACTGCGTTTCACCGCAACAACGACACGTACTAGGATTAGGTTCCTAAGTACATTTTACACCATGAAGAATGATAACTCTGGTTCTCTTTGTGGACCTGTTATAGATGATGTGAAATTGCTTAGTGTTCGTTATCCCAACAAGCACATCTAATCTAATGCAATAGTGCAAATCAAAATGTATGATACATGTCTCATTGAGTCAGCTCAACTGCTAGCTGTGCTGGGACATCAAATGAAAGGAAATGTATGCTACTTTCATCCATTTCGTTGAGTATTTATATTACTATATTATAGAGTTGATTCTTGTAATAATATAGTTAGGAGGAAGTACTATTGAGTGAGTTTACAGAGTCTTATGTATTTGCATATCAATCTACATCAACAATATAAACAAATGATAAGTATTTCAATATGTGACTTTATTCTAGCACTCTTTTACATGACATTACAGTTACTATTTTTTGTGAATTTGAATTCTATACTATAAAAGCAATAAATGTTGATTTCATTGTTAATATTTATTTTTGAATGGGATCTGTGGATCTGTTTGGCTTCAGAAGCAATTAACATCCTAGATAAAAAGTATTTTGTTGGTAATATGGCTACCAAGGTGAATGTTTGCGGGGCTTTTAACACTTAAAATTGGAATTTCCTCATCAAAGTGGTGTCAAGTTTTGGTTTCAGACAAAAATTCTAAAATTAAATCAAAGTAGTCATCTTTTATGCTTATATGTCTATGGATATTAATGGTTCTCTTAATTGTTACTTCGAGTATGTTAGGGGATTTAGACAAGGAAAAATAAAAATTGCATGTAGTGTATGAAAAGTGAGAGATCTTTTATATTTTTATCAAATTGAATCAACATTTTAGACTTCCTTTTCAAATATGGGGAAGGGGTTTTGGACTTCTAGAGAGTATGCACGAAAAAAATTTAAAGATGGCGCAGAATCAGCATGAAAAAGTGTGATTGAATTTGAATGCAAGTGGAAAGATCATAGTTACAGAATTTGCGTTACCGTTATCTTAGAGAATTACAAATTGGTTCAAGAGTACCGGTTCAAAGTACTTTTGTAAAGCAGTTCACAAAAATTCTCATAAAATTCAGAGAATGTGACGTACTGATGAACCAACTGAAATATTTGAACTGTGATTTATTTTTGTTATGGCGTGCTATTACAAAGGCATGTTTATGCAAGGCCCCACATAGAGCCCGCTAGCCAATATCTTAACTTATTAATGCTTAGCCATGCTATTATCATCATATTTGCATTCTTCTATTTATGAGCTCTTTTAATTTTTTGTATGTCTATCTATATATTCGATGTGAGACTTTGTCCATCTATATAAAACTAATATCCATTGTATGTTGATTTATCTGTATACGCGTATGTTTGCATAGTTATTGATGTGATACACATACTTTTGTTTTTAAAATATAATAAAAATATAAAGAAGAAAAACAAAATTGTTTTATTAAAAAAAATATTATTTTTATAAGAAAGATATATTTTAAAATAAAAACAAAAGTATTTTATCAAAATTGTTTTACATCAATAATATATATTTCAAATTTTTATATATTATCTTAAATTAAAACAAATATCAAAACAAAAATATTAATAACATAAATAATTAAAAAAATAACACATTTTTCCCGTATTTGGATTCATACATTATTTTAAATATATTTACTTTTATTCATTTTAATTGTAAAAAAAAATCGTAGGTTCGCACAAATTCTGATATGGTTACTCGTGCGTTCACACGGTACTGGTGTGTTACCCGTGCGTTCGCACGAGTACTGGTGTGATACGCACGCTTTTGTTTTCAAAATTTAATAAAAATATAAATAAGAAAAACAAAATTGGTTTACCAATTTTTATTATTATTTTTAAAAGAAATACATATTTAAAAAAAAGTTTTACATCAATAATATATATTTCAAATTTTGATATATTACCTTAAAAAATATTGTATCTTGAACTTTTTAAAAATCAAAATAATAATATTAGTAACACAAATAGTTAAAAAAACAATATATTTTTCTCGTATTTGGATTCATACATTATTTAATATATTTTTATTTTTATTTTCTTTAATTATACAAAAAAAAATATAATAACTCGTAGATTTGTAGAAATTTTGATCTGGACACTCGTACGTTCGTACGAGTACTTACCCATTACACGTATATGTTTCTAAATTGTACAAAAAATGTAATAACCTATGAGTTCGCACGAATTTTAATATTAATATCCGTACGTTTGTACGGGTACTAGTGTGTTCAATCTATTATTATTTGTGTTGAAGTTTATGTAATTGATTTAATTTATAAAATATTTATTATTATAAAATTCATACAATTAATAACATAAAATAAAAATATATATTTATTTATTTAATATTTTTGTTTTCGTGATCATAAAATAATTATGAATTATTTATATTAACATATAATTTTAATGTTATTTAATTCAGACATTACTTATCTGTGTTTGTCTAGTATTTTTTTACTTATAAATATTTGTATCATTGATTTCTATATTCGTAACATAAATAATTGTAAAAAATAATATATTTTTCCTGTGCTACATTTAAGTTATTTATTTTTAAATATCAAAAGAAAAGAAAAACTATATTTGTTTAGTAATAATTAAAAAATTATAAATAACTGATATTTTTTTCTCTACTCCAAGTTAAGTTTTTGTGAGAATTTTTTTTACATAATTTTGTATATATATATATATATATATATATATATATATATATATATATATATATATATATATATATATATATATATATATATATATATATATATATATATATATATATATATATATATATATATATATATATATATATATATATATATATATATATATATATATATATATATATATATATATATATATATATATATATATATATATATATATATATATATATATATATATATATATATATATATATATATATATATATATATATAATAATCATAATTAAGTGATTATTTTAAAATTAAATGACAAATGATTAATTTATTTTATGTTTGTCAAAATGTATTGATATTTTACACAAAAATTTATAATAATAGATAGAAAATGTTTTGATGGATTTGAAACTGATTTCAAATTGATTTTATTAAAAATATAGGATTTAATCATTTATAAGTTTAATTAAATAATTTAAAGCCATTAAATTGATTTAAACTACTATATTAAAAGAAAAATGTTTATCGGTAAGAAAAAATAAGAAACACAAAAATTAAATCTCAACCATTCGTTATTACCACTATTTACTCTATGATTTCTATTTAAAAAAAATTAAGTTTAAAATTATCTTCTAAAATAATAACAAATATACATTTTTGAATTTCATATTTAAATAATTCATACTATATGGCATTACTCATATTAAAATGTAACAAAAAAGAGCCCAATGAAAATTTCACATTTCATCTTATATATATTTATTTAATAGTGAATAACATGTGTCTCATATTTAATTATGCTTATAGATACAAATGGTTGCCCCTATTTAATTAGGTATTGATGAAAAATATTTATAAAAAATAATTATATATTTAAATGTAATATCCATAATATCATCATTTTTTTAGAACTATTCTATTGAATATTTATTCGTTAATGTTATAAAAGGTTATAGAAAGTACTTACATAAGATTATATTTCATCATTAATTTAAATTTCAATATTATAAATTATATTTAATTTGTAATAAGAATATTCATAATTGTAGTTAATGTATTATATCTTTTTAAATTATTTTAACAAATATCAATAAATTGATTCATTTATAAGATTTAATCAAATTCAAATATAGAAAATAAAAATTATAAATTAAAGATCTTATAAATTTAATTTAATTTAATTTATATAATTCTAATGACGCGTCATTTATACTTAAAAACCATATTTTCTCCGTTAATTAGTGAAAATGAATACTTATATATAAATTGTAATTTTTGTAGATACATTTTTTTAATAGTGGTAAATAAAAATATAAAATTTTTTTATTTATATGTTTGAATATTTTTATTTTATTTTATGCAACAAAAATATTAGTTGATTATTCCATTTTTATTAAGTTCCTTAAATAAATTTTTTGTGATAATCATAAATGAAGTTGTTAAATATTTTAAAATATTACTGTTCTGGACTGGGCCCGACAGGCCCAATAGCATTGCTAAGGCCCAATCCAAATGGACTTGCTGAGGACCACGCCGACCAAAGGGTCACAGTCGTACCCGACGTGTTCCCTGAGGTCACGTGCTCGACCTCTACATCTCCAGCTCGACATCGTGCTGTCCAGCTCGACATCACCTCGAGCACCCCCAACTAGGGCAGACTCAGTCCACTGCACTCCCAACGAGACCCCGAAAAGACCGCGTCTTCGTCCGCCCGCACTTCACGCAGAACATCCAGGAAGGGGACCACATGCGGGTCCCCACTACGCACGTAGAACCTGGCAGTTCCTCCATTGGGCCAAACCTGCCCGGCCCAACGGAGGAACCTTGGCCCAGCGCTGGGGGCTATAAATACCCTCTGTTTCCAGAGGGGCAGGTATTCATCATTCTACCCATACTTACTATTGTCTGCTCGTGCTTCTACTTACTTCAGCATCGGAGTGCCTTGCAGGTACCCCCCCCACCTCGTTCAAAAAGCTTTCAGCTCGGAGCCAGCCGTGACAGTCCAAGTCTGATCAGGTCAGATCAGTGGCGCCGTCTGTGGGAAACTAGCTTCCCCGTCTTACAAACAACTCAAAAGACCAAAGCTCAAAATTCAACTACCTGTCATGGCTGATCCAGCTCGCGATGAGCAGAACGTCCGTGTCGCCGACACCAATAACGGCACGGCGGACAAAAACGGACATCTCGACAACGTCGGCAATCCCGGCCATAACACCGCTCCTACAACAACCATCCTCGGAACTTCCTCGCATAGGGACGGAGCCACAGCATCATCCTCCTCGCTCCCACCACCACTTGAGAACGACCCGGCGGCCCTCGCCCACTACAGAGCTGCCCGGTTTCAGGAAGTCCCCGTCCCCTCCGGGGCGGATGCCACCATACAAGCGTTGTTCGCAGCAATTAACCAAACGAACTATCTCATTTTCGCCCAAGGAGA